CAAATCTGATTTGACGTAAGGTCTACTCCCCAAGATGGAACCTATAGCTGACACTGCTTGGCAAACCAAGACTCTGAAATCATATATCTCATGGATCTAAAGTAAAACCTAACACAAACAAAAAACACAACAGCAACATCAAAACTATAGCAATAAAATGACTCCAAATGACATTCTGCTTTACTCACAGATCAGTGCCTTGCCATCATCAGAGAAGCTTCCTCCTGCAGAAGATGGAAACAAGCATAGAGAGCCACAGCCCAGACATTACACAGACAGTAAAGGACCTTGGAACAATCATCCCTAAATGGGATGCCTCTATCAAATCCCTCCCCTCAGTGCTTAGGTAATCCTGTGGAAGAAAAGGCAGAAGGAGTGAAAGAGCCAGAGGGGATGGAAGACACCAAGAAAAAGAGGCCCTCTGAATCAACATGACCAAAGCTCATATGAACTCACAGAGACGGAGGCAGGTTGCACAAGGTTTTCAGGGTCTGCACCAGTTCTCTTTGTACGTTATAGCTTCCAGTTTGGTGTTTTTATGGGATTCCTTGGTGTGTAAATGAGTAAGTTTCTGATTTTTGCCTTCTCTTGGGCTCCTTTACTTCTGTTTGTTTGTCCTGTCCAACTTTGTTGTGTTCATTTTGCTTTATCTTGTTACTTTTTTATTATCCCTTAAAAGCCTGTTTTTTTTTTTTTTGAACTGGGAGGAGTATAAGGAGGGGAAACTATAATCAGCACACATTATGTGAGAAAAAAAATCTATTTTCAGTAAAAGGAAAAAAAAGAGAAGGAAGAAGAGGAATAATAACAACAATAACAACAGAGAGGGAGAGAAAAGAGAAGAAATTTTTTTCATCTGCTCTGAAAATTCTTCTTACAAAATTCAAAAACTGCTTATCCAACCCCTGACCCCAAGCATGTGAAGCCCTCTTCTGAGTTGTTGGATAAGTTTGTCTAAGAGATTCCCAAAACATTACAGGCTATTGCTATTGCTATTGCTCCTGGTTGGCTTCTAGATGTGGAAGGTAAGTCCCTACTGCTGAAGAGACCACATGCTTCAGATACAGGGCCCAGAACTAGAACTGACCTGGATGATTCCTCTCTGACAAAAGGTTTTATGGTACCAGAAAGTATCAAAGGAGGGAAGCAACCCAACAGTCTTACTCAGACATGATGCCTCTGAAACACAATGGCCTGTATGACACCATAATTTAAGGGCACAGTAGTGCCCTTATACTTTGGTGGTAGCCAGCAGGTCTCTCTCTCTCTCTCTCTCTCTCTCTCTCTGTCTCCCTCTCTGTCTCTCTGGAAACTGTGCCTGGTACTGAAAACCTACCCAGCCACTCAGAGGTAGTGAAGTCATAGATCTTGGAAGACAACACAACCACGACTTTACTCAACCAGAATAATCCCAACTGCATTATAAGTACTTGTCTTATATTCACAGACAAATGTAGTCTTTGTCCTTCATCAAGAGAACTTCTCTTGGCAATAGATAGAGACCATTACAGAAAACCACAACCAGTCAAAATGTAGAGTTGTAGAGCTAAGTCCCAGGGATCTACAAAACACCCCTGTACCTAAAAAAGCTCAAGGAACATTGCAGAAGAGGATAGGAATATTGTAAGAATCAGAAAACCAGAAGGTACGCTATGCTCATAAACTCTCATTAGCATGACTGACTAAGCATGAGCTGAACAAGAACAATAGGCTTGCTATAAGTGGATGGAGGAGAGCCCAGGAAGCAACTAAGGAATGCTGAGTGACAATGTTTTTTTTTCCCCCCCAGGGAAGAACACACCAGCTGGTTATTCCATTACAAATGTCCAGTCCTGAAAACATATGTACAAATAACACTGCACAGACTGAGAAAATTGTATTTAGAAATATACATGTATAGACATATACATAAATGCATGTAACAACAATCAATGAAAAAATAAGCCATGGGTTTGAAAGACAGCAGGAAAGAGTATCTCACTGGCTGCGAAGGGAGGAAAGGTAAAAATGGAAACGAAATGATTATATTATGTTCTCAAAAAAAGAGAAGTTCTCAAAAAAGGGAAAATGTTAATCAACCAACCAAATAAACAACAAACAAACAAATAAGCAATCAAAAATGATCAAATACAACAAAACAGCCTATCAATTCTTCAAGAGAAGCCAACAGGAGACAACATATCCCTTTAGACTTTTTTTTTTTAATTTTAAAATCCTATGCCGTGATTCTTGTTGCTTTTAAATTGTTAAAGCATGATTCTTACCCATTTTACCCATCTTACCCAAGATCTCATGTTGAAAATCTTAAACCCAAATTTAAATTCCAATACTTTTCAACTTTGTTTCTCTACTTTTGGGTTACTAGAAAAGCTATGTTGAGGAGGACATTCCTCATTCTTGTAGGCATTAACAGCCTAGGGCTGGCTTATTCATAAGTGCTTTACAAGAGCATCAGACGGTCAAGTGCTGGTACACTACAGGGTTATGGCATGAAAAAGATGGCGCCCTCTAATGGGAACCCTCTAACAAGTATCTTAAAGATAATTTATAGGAACACTATAAAATTTGGACAGTCCTTGAGGAAACAAAGTATTTGAATTGACAATAGGTTATTACAAGAGGGAGCGGTACTATCAGCTCCAAGAACTTGCCATTATAGAATGCAGTAAGCTGTGGGTCACTGTATAGGACTGTGCCCTTAGAGTCACAGCCAGCCCTTGTCCTCTTACACAGAAAGACCAGGATCAATATTGTTTGGAACTCATTGCCTTCAGCAAGTTTCCTGATATTACTACCAACCAAACCTAATAAAAAAAAGCCAGACAGCTCCTTGACATAGGCCAAAGAGGAGACACTTGTGCTAGACAAAAAAGTGAAGAGTAGAGAAGGAATGCAGAGGGACAAATGAAAGGTATTGTCAGAGATGATTTCAAGACAGTGAAAAAAGCAGAGACTACAGTCTTCTATTTCAATAAAAACGTTAAAAAAAAGCCATAAATGTACTTATATCCTAATTTCTGCTGGTTTTATATTAGAAGCACAGGTGTGATTAGGATTTGCATCTGAACTTTATACACAATAAAAGAATGAGGTGTGTGCATGTTTGTGTGAGTGTGTTTGTGTGTATGGTGTTGTAAGATGTGTAGATGAATTTATGAACAAGAAAAGAATTCACATTATGCAATGAGCTAGGTAACACCTGAAACCTAGATGCCATCTGTAAACCATGATATGAAACCATAGCATGAATATATTTGAGAGTATTTAGTACAGAATTATAGAATATTATCAAGAATGCAGAAAGAGTGAAAAGGCAAGAACTAGAGACCTATGTTATAAATAATACAGTGATAAATTGGGGTACCACCAAAACTTCAAAGTAATTTTATGCTGACATTGCCCACACTTTGAGGCCCACCACGATACAAGCAGCGCCATCTACCCTATATGGAAATGCAAATACTAGAAATTGAGGACAGAAGATATTGAATGAAATATGAAATCTCCTGGGCCAGAGATAAATCTGTCATTGCAATGAAAGAATCATTGTACTGAATAAATCCTAACCCTCCAAACAAACAATGATGAGGAAGAACAGTGAAGCATACTAAGTATTAAGTAACATTTAAAAATTACGTATCAGATTACATAATATATAAATGAAACAGTTGATAACGTAAAGGTGGAACAGAAGGTGGTAGAAAATGAGCACTAGAACAAAGTGAAGCAGTAGGATCAGAGCTTTGGGAGTCTAATAAAAGATGTGCATTTTCAGGTAGATATTTCAAATGTATATGAGCAACAAGAGAGAAGCATCCAATACAGTAGTACATATGGAAATAAATGACAAATTTCCAGTCATTCCTTGCTGCCCCACACAAAGAAAGACCTGGAAGAATTAGGCACAATTCTTAAGGACAAGAATACAACCTCTCAGAACAAAATAAAATATTTAAATTTTATTCTTCATGATCACATGAATATAAAGTTTTGTGTTGCTAACAACACAGTATTTTATTTTTTACATTACTTCTGATTTGTCCATAAAAATACATGGCTTCCTTTCAAGCCCTAGTCTTTGTCAACCTGCTGTTTTATTATGGGAAAGAAATGACACCAATGCCTATGATGGCATTGTGTGATTCCATCAGCTGTGTACAGGACACTACCCACTATTCTTACTAGCGTCTTTTCACAAAGACATTTTCTGTAGCACAGCAATGTACTTTTCTTTGTTTTCTTCCTTTTAAAAAGATCAATCAGAGTTCACTGAGGTTTTGGTGTGGGTGTTTCCTCAAATGCACTTTGCTTTTGTAAATAATTTTCAAATAGCACATGCCTACTAGTTGGGCCAATCTCCTTTGACATCAACTGTTGCAATCTTGGATCCATATAAGTTTTAGTACCTACAAAACTTCCTACCTACCCCGCCAAATATTAATCCATGTTTTACTTTCAATTTCATCAGTGATCACTTATCATCCATTCTCAGAGGCCATTGTTTGTGAGGCTGAGTTCCAGTGCTGGTTAAATAATATACTCTCTATAACCTAAGAAAACCATTTCACAAAAATACTAATATATTTTAAGACTCTATTTCATAAATGCTAAAATGAGAAGATAATTTTTCACTTATTGAAAATCATATTGACCTTATTCTTTTACATTATGTATATTTATATAAAAATGTAGATTTAAAAAGAGCACAAATTTAACTCAATGAACAATCCTGTAGCTAGCTATTTTACTGTCTAAAGAGAAAAGAAGCCAGTCCTATGCTGCAGCTGTATTTTCTGAAGGTTTTTTACCAAGCAGCAATTCCTTAATGGATAACAAAGTGTTGATTGTTTTAAAAAGCATTTTTCATAAAAACCATATAACCAGCACATCATAACGTTCAAAGAACGGCACCTACATCTCAGAGATGAAGCAGAAGGAATTTAGTTAAGACAGTGAGCAGCTGTCTTCATTGTTGCTTAAGAACACAGGTTTCTACTCACTGGAGCCTTCCGTGAAGTTGCTGATGACAGAGCTGCCCCCTGCTGAGCTGCATCTCTTGCCCTCCTTGAACTGCTGTCTCCTCCTGGCCCACTGGTCTATTGCTTCTTCCTGGGAACCATCACTGGCTCTTCCTCCTCTTAGAACCAATTCCTGCGATAGCTTTCGGGGCTTATTGATCTCCAAATTCTGATCTAGATTAAACCATATTAAATGTCAAAGTGAGATGCCAGTTCAAGATAGGAGGTGAAATAGTCTTTAAAACAAAGAGCTGTAATATATATATATATATATATATATATATATATATATATATACATACATATATTTGTTCATTTTCTTCATGTTCCATTTGCTAAGTTGGAGAGAGAAACTGAGATGCAAATTAATATATAGGTTTACATAGTCCCAAACTCCTGCCTTCTGTCATAACAAACAATAAAATTGAATTATTAGGAAAATAAATATATCAATAAAATATCACAGCCTAATTAAACTGAATTTTTAAAAGAAAACTTGAAGTACATAAACATAAAATCTAGAAAGCATTTTCACAATTTAGAATTATTTGAAATTTTACCTTTGATACTATACAAAAGGCAAACAGCATAGATTTTAAAACTTGACTTTGTGTTTATTCTGCTCCTAGAAACAATAAGTTTTTACAATTTTATTTCTGTTTCCTTTTAGAATTTTCTTATATATTCAAATTGGGAGAAAGCACATAGCCCGTGCTATTTATAGTTTGATATAAATAACGAAGTACTGAATTCCACAAATTATAAAGGTATACACCTATTCTGATGCTCAGTGTTGATACTCTTCGATTTGCAAAAGTACGGAGGAAAACTGGCCTAAGCTCACTGTATGTACTTGTGCTATTTAGTTTTGCCAAGTGTATACCAACTACAGGCACCTGGGAAGAGGGACATAAACTGAGGACTGGAGTGCCTGGTGGTAGGGACATTTTCTTGATTAATGGTTGATGTGGGAGAGCTCAGTCCCCTGTAGGCAGTACTAGCCCTAGGTCCTGGCCTGTTTGAGGAAGCAAGCTGAGCAAGACAGGAGAAGAAGCTGGCAAGCAGGGCTCCACCATGATCTCCACCTAAGCTGATGATTCCAGCTTCATCTTGAATTTCTGCCTTGCCTTTCACAGTAATGGACTGTAACATATAAGCTCAACACAACTTTTACTACCCCAAGTTGTTTTTAGTCAGTTTTTGTTTCAGCAAATATATAGGTATGCACTGAGTTTTTCTATGAATCAGATGGTGTGCTGGGGCTGGAGTGCAGACATCAAAGCTCCTGGTGGAACTTTGTCAAAGTAGATACTCTCAGTTTTAACAAATGTTATGGTTTGAACATAGGCATCACTTGAAAATTCATTTGGGAATCAAGGGACCTAATGTAATCATACTGAGAAGCTGAGACTTTAGTCAGTGACGAACTCTTGCTTGCTTTACTCTCGTGAAGAGGATAATTTCCCTTACAGTTTCTGAAGACCAGGTAGGCCACGTTCTTCGTTCTTCCATGCTACACAGCACACACAGCAGAAGGGGACTCTCCGTAGCAGGAAAAAGGCACACCACCCTGCTAAGTACTCATTCCTTGACCCTGACTTTACAATCTCCATATATTTGTTCTTTGAAGATTATCTCATTACTGATATTTTGTCATATAGTCGTGTGGTTGGAGAAGGACCTTAAGAATGGGTGTGAAAGTGGTCCCCGTGAGAGTATGGGGGATCTGGGTAGTGAGGGAGAAGACAGAGGATTAAAGGAGCACTGCTGGAAGAAAGCAGAGTTTCCACTGAAACTGGGACAGGGTGGGCTTTTGCACATCAGCAGAAGGGAAATTCCCAGGTTCACCTGAAGTCACCCTGCTGGAAGTTAGCTAATAGATGTCATTTTGTACAAGAAAATGGATTGATTTTCATTCACGTTTCTGTACTGAGCTTGAGATCTCAAAGTTTCTCAAGTCTTTGTCAGGTCTCTGGGAATCATGCCTTTCTTTTTTAGAGCTACAGGGAAATAAACTATTGTATAAACTGAATGCAAATTTCATATCATATTACATATAAATCACTGTTTAATCATGAATATGTCTATAACATATAAAATGTCACTGAATTCTTATTGTCTGTAATTTTTTCAGGCTGACCTGGCTTTAGTTCTATTACTTTTTTTTTTAGATTGTAGACTTTCTGGTTCATTGATATAGATCTTATACATTTCAGCTAATTTTTAGTGGAAGAAATTTATTCCAAGAGTACTCACATTAATCTGTTAAAGAACTTAGTATTCTATTCTTAACGACTAAGACTCATATCTTTCCTTTTCTACTGCACTGACTCTCTTACCTCCTCATACACCCAGCCTCATGTCAGGGTTGCTTGATTTGATGTACATTACACAGACTGATTTGATGTCCATCCCCACAGAGTGAAGAAGGATCTCTTGCAAAATTCAAATATCAGTTTGTGCCCACAAAGATTTTTTTTAAATATTTGGTGAAGCAACTCAAGTTCTTCAAAGCACTTTATATTCTGAAAAGTTTGTGCAATGCTGGTATGTGATGCCAGAACAATAGTATTGATAAAGTATAAAAGTACTCATCACTCTAAGAAAATAAAAATGGTAAAAACATTTAAAATTGTAAATAAAATTTTTGTAACTATTTTAATTTCTGAACTGTTTTCTCTATAAAAGTACATTTGTATGTGAGCAAGAGACTTCACAGAGCAAACTGATATGATTTCCTTGCATTTGAACAACAAATACTCATTAGTCTTAAGGACAGGTGCTGTATAATGCTATAGATACATAAATTTACAGAAAAGAAAAATAAAACAACCCTTCATGGAACCTACATTTTAGTTAATAAGAGAAAATAAACAAGCAAGTAAAATATGCAGCATATTAAAAGCAAAAAGATATGTATGAGAGTAAAACATGAAAAAAGAGTGAACTCGGGCTTGAACAAGGATAGCTCAAACTCCAGTTTTAAATTTGGTTTCTAATAAGTTTTTTACTGTGAGGAGAATAACATAAAAAGACACAATAAGAACGACCCCATGGGTATATGGAGAAATAGTTGTGCACAAGAAAGCATAGTGGAGAGAAGTTTCTAGAAGCTCAAATAGATAAAATATGCTTAGAACAGATTTATCGGGGAAGGAGGTAAAGGACTGTGAGAACAGACTTTTGATGAAATGTAGGCTGCAGTCGTTCACCAAGCGGGGACAATTTCAGTTTATTGAGAGCAATTTCATTTGCGGCTGGCTTCTTATCTGGATTTTTAACTGTGTTGGGAGAGGTAGCTTATGGAGCAACACACTCCTGGGAACAGGAAAGACAACTTGAGAGGGATATTCATGCAGGTGAGTACATATCCCCTCTGGGAAACATAAGTGCTCATGTTGCAGGTTCCCTTGCAGCTCTAAATAAGTATGCACTGACACAAATCTTGGAATTTATGTGACTGGCCTGGAGTCTGGAGCTACACAGGGCCTGGCAAGCAGTCACTGAGATCAGGAGGTTTTGCATTAAGGTTTTCATATAAGGTAGTACAGCTTTTATATTGTTTTTTAGATGATTCATTTTGCATAAATCAAATCTTACATTTTATGGTAACACTTACATAATAGATTATGCTTCTTGTATTTTATTTCTACTCCCAACATTTTTGAAAAGTTTTGAGTAAAGAATTTTGCTCTTAAATTTGCTCTTCAATGTTTTTAAATTGTTTCATTTAAAACATAAAAAGACTATGAGAACAGGAAAGATGGTGCCTTTCATAAGTTTCTTCCTTCTCAATCTAATTTCTGAGCATATTAGGTATGCTCTCTGCACTTTGGAAAACAGTTTCAGTTTTTGCTATGGAATAGTCCTAACATTAAGACACTTTTAATTTATGGTATGTAATAATCCTAACATTAAGTGACAAATAATTTAACTCATTGAGAAGCACAAGGATCTTTTATAAACTAACCAGAACAATGTTTTGCTGTTCCAAGATTGAAACCAGACAGACAGCATTATGTACTTAGGAAGAAGCTTCCGTCTTAGCCATTCTTGAGGTTTCAAGAGTGCCTGGGTTGTATCAATTGTGTGAGCAAGACCAGGCAACACAATACAGAGGTCAGAGGGCTGCTGGAGTTAAAGGTCCTGTAGATGGTTCTGTCAGGATTAGTTAAGGGTGTCTCTGGTTTTCGTCCTTTGTTCTGATTACTATTCCACATGGGCTCTAGAGACATGAATAACCCTGCCTGTGTAACACTACAGTAAGGCTTGAAAACACATTTTATCACAAGCATATTCTTCCTATCTTTTTAAAAATGCTTACCTTGCAAGATCAGGAGAAATAGTAGATTATTTAAGAGTGACACAGGCTAACATTTTCAACAAAATTGATTTACTTTTATCTTATATTAAGCTTCAGCTATGGTGATTTTATACACACTACTTATGGGTAGAGTTAATTTCAATGTAAAAGAACAGGCCAATATAGTATCCTTAAAATTTCTCTAACTCTAAAATGCCCAACACATCTTACCAATAAAGGATCCCAAGCAGTAAAAATGACTTCACCCAAGACTGTTGAAACCTCATAATATAGCAACAACAACAAAAACCCTACAAATGCTCTATAGCCCATTGTACCTTTTAGTGCCTTCTGCTTCTGTGGTGACCACAATATGTCCATAGGGTGGTAGAAAGTTTCTGCGGGGTCACGGTTTTTCTCACTTTCTTCAAGGTGTGCTCTTGATGCAGCCCTTTGGAACTCTGCTGGCTCCTGTTGGAAGTTATTCAGTTCAAAACTTTTGCTGCCTCTATTACTATTTGAATCTTCATTAACAAGTAGTGTCTTATGAATAAGAGACAGCTTCTCTGTAGCATGTTCTGTACAGGTAGACTCAACAGAGTTTAGTAGAAAAGCCATTGGAGCACAGATTTCATTTTGATACTCACTTGTTGCGTCTTCAAAATCTCTGTGGCACATATTCTTCACGACTGATAGTACCTGGCTTTTTTCATCTTCAACATTTTCCAAATAGCTGGTAGACTCTCTAGGGTTTCTTACTGCCATGGGACAATTAGAATCAACTGTGCCTTCTTTGTGATTTTGAGCAGTGACTCTCTGCTCTAACTCATCAGTTATGGAGGCCGAGACTGGCCCTTCTGTTCTGCTGAGGGCTGTCATCTCTACATGATTTGCATGGTTCTCTGTTTGTTCCCATTCCACAGAACTGTGTATATTGCCATGAAGTGGGCTCTTCGGAACTGGGCTGCTGCAGGATGTAATCCTCACAGTTGGACTCTGTGTGTTCTTCCTTTCCAATAGATGTGTGTTCACAAAAGAGTCACTGTTTAAAACAGTCTCATTAACATCTCTGTAAATCACAGCACCATGTACTTTGTCCTGCTCTCTCCCAACACCAATGTATTGGCTAAAAGAAAGTGTGTTCCCAGAAGTCTCTACAGGTTCTCTACAGGTGACCCAGTGGGATGGACTGAGTAACAGAGAAGACTTCACAGCATGTTCACTAACAGGGAAAGACACAGAATCTGAGCTCTCATAGACCTCTCCTGGCAGGGTTTTGTTGCCTCTGCAGCTAAGGTTGTCTACTTTTTCTCCCAAGAGCTGCATGGTTGGAAAAGACAAAGGACAACACACAGAGTCTGAGGCATCTTGAACGGGAATCGTGCTGCTCACAGTACTTAGGGGACCATTGGTTCCTGCTGTGCATGGCTGTACTTGGGAATGTGAAATGATATTTTCCCTGATATCAGAGCTGTTTTTTCTCTTTTTATCCACATCCCTTGAATCCTCAAAAGGCATTTTACTTAAATCCATATTATTCAAACTTGTGGTCCTTAAGGTTTGAGAAGAGGTAAGAGGACAAGTGGCAACTGTGAAGAGATGTTGCTTTGGGGGGTTGTCCTGAATAATTTGGAAGACCTTCTGTTGAGATGTAGCAGAATCTCCCTCTTCTGAATCATCTGGGGCTGAAGGCAGTGTGTTGGGTTTCTTTTTCTCTCCCCTGGGAGGTGGGCTTAGAGAAACCACAATAGTGTCTGAATTCTCTTTCTGGACAGTATTCACACTACAGGGAGTGTCAGGCAAACCATTTGAACACTGTTTCTGGCTTTCAAGCCTCCGGTTTTCAGGATGATTTATGCCAGGCTGTGAAGGAAATTCACAGGGTTCTTTTGTGGTGTGGTTTAAGGAACTTTTTCTATGTTTTATTGATTTCCCTATGCTTTTAGAATGAGAGATATTGATTAATATGTTCTGTTTTTTACTTACATATTCAACCATAATTTCTTTCCCTACAATGCTTATGCTCATTGAAGGGATATTTCTTCTAGAGGCCTCTCCTTTGCATGTAGACGGAACCTTATGCTTGAATCTTTCTGCCGATACAGTGCTGTAATTAGAGAACTGGCCCCGAGATGTGGAATCTCGTTGTCTTTGCTGGACAGAATAATGCTGGTGACATGTTGGGCATCGCCGTTTTGTTGGGAATTGTACTCCTGTTTTACAGAAAATGCTTTTTGTGGTTTCCACTTGCACATTGAAAGCTCCACATTTGACTTCTCTAATAAATTTGCCTGTTGCTGGCTTTAAGGCTTCTACTGTGTTTGGGAAATCCTGTGTTGTAATTTTTCCTGATAATGACTTTTTACAGTCATTAAACATAGCCACTGGTAAGACTTCCTCTAGTTGATGAGAGATAGCCGGAGGATAGTCATCATTCTCCATCCTCTTGTGTATTTTGCGGTCAGATGGAGGTTGTTTATCATCTTTGGGGAGCAAAGAGGATTTCTGTTTTCCATTTATAGAAGCAGATAGACACTCATCTCCATTTTCCTTCAATTTCCCTAATGCCTCAGTCTGATGAAACATGGCCTCTGAAGTGTGTCCCTTGATGTCCTTTTCAAAATCTTTTACAATTTTTTGGCATGCTTGACCAGATGGCTGAGAAGTACCTAAAACGAAAGGAGAAAGGAACAAAAAATGTTTTATGTCCACTTAAAGACCAGATGTTCCAAATCAACAGGAATATCATTTGTACTTATTTTGGGTAACAGTTTCCATTAGTTTCATGAAGGTTTATTCCAAATAAATGTTTTATTTTGAATTAATTATCCGCAGAATATCATGTGGTAGTTAAGAAAGTAAACTTTAGTTCTACTCAAAGAAGAATTCTGAAACTGAGTTAAATGCATGTTTCAAAAGAAATGTAGGCAACTAAAATTTAAGTGCAATGTCTTGATAAGAGGACCTCCCCTATCAGTGGACTTGGGGAGGGGCATGCGTGAAAAAGGGGGTGGGAAGGTGTGATAGGGAGGGGAGGAGAGAGGGGCTTATGGGGGATACAAAGTGAATAAAGTGTAATTAATAAAAAAATAAAAAAATAAATCTCTAAGGTTAAAAAAAAAAAAAAAAGAAACAAACTGACATGTCCTGACACTTTTTGTTTTGTTTCTCGAGACAGGTTTCTCTGGGTTGCCTTGGCTTTCCTGGACTTGCTTTGTAGGCCATGCTAGCCTTAAACTCACAGAGATCCTCCTGCCTCTGCTACCCGAGTGCTGGAATTAAAGGTGAATACCACCAGCTATGTGCCCTGAAATTTGAACATAGCATTATTCTACAGGCTATGTCTAACACCATATAATTTCATGGAGCTAAAGATTCTGAAAAACAGGATGGAAGAGAACTCAGTATGGCCCATAGACTGCCATTCAAACACATCACATAGATTCCGTTGCTTTATATTTTTAATAGGGTATATTCACAAATGTGAATTCCTGTGGTATCCAGGCAATGTTAACAATGTAGTGCCATGGCATCAATGAAACAGATGCTTAAAAGCCCTTTCTTTCTTTCTTTCTTTCTTTCTTTCTTTCTTTCTTTCTTTCTTTCTTGTGTGTTTATGTGTAACATACATGTGGACATCAGAGGACAACTTGAGGGAGTCAGTTTGCTCCAAAAATTGAATTTGTGTCACAAAATTTGGTGGCAAACATACTGAACCATCTCAATAGTTCATGAAAAGGAATATTTTAAACACCTGATTAAGTTAAAACTTGGTAATAATTTTTATAAATTTATTTTATTATGGATTTAAACATTATATACATATACTTATGCAGCATATACATGAATCCCTTGACAGGAAAAGGAGAAAAAGAATATGACATTACTTAAAGACTCTGACCACACCCATTTGTGCCCTGAAGGAAGAGGTTCACTCTTGGCAGGTACTATAACAATTTCCATAAGCCTGCTCACAATTGAAAACTAATGTGGATAACATGGAAGAAGAGACAGAGAGAAAAAAAAATTCCCTCTAAACCCCATCTACAATCAAGCTTGAACACATAATTTTATAGACTGACAAACTTCCTGCTACTACTAGATTATGATTGATTTTTAAAATAATGCATGTCAAGGTCAGGCCTAGTATTTGATATTTTTACATTTATACTAATTTTTATTTGATCACATTTCTATAGAAGATGAATTGAGAAAGTTATATTCAATGCATTAGCAGCAGATTTTTAATAATGAGGTGGGAGCTTAATGTGGAAATTAGTAAACATTCTATTTTAAAATATTTAGCCCATAGCACATATAAATGATAACTAATGTAGAAATGCATTTATAGTAGTCAAAACTTGTAGCGGTTTGAATAGGAACGGCCCTCATAGACTCAAATGTTTGCATGCTTAGTCATAGGGAGTAACACTATTAGGAGGTTTGCCCTTATTGGAGTATGTGTGGTCTTGTCAGAGGAAATGTGTCATTGAAGGTAGGCTTTGAGGTCTCAAATGCTCAAGCCAGGCCTAGTGAGTCATTGTCTCTTCCTGCTGCCTGTAGACACAAATGTAGAACCTTCCCTGTAGCTACTTCTACAGAACCATGTCTCCTTGCCTGCATGCTGCCATGCTTCCTTCCCACCATGACAATAATGGACTAACCCTCTGAACTGTAGGGCAACCTTAATTAAATGTTTTTCTTTATACAGTTGCCAATGTCATGGTTTCACTTCACAGCAATAAAACCCTAACTAAGATAGAAGTTGGTGCTCAGAGTGATAGGTCAGACCATGTTTTGTTTGGAGGACTGTAGACTTTGGGCCTTTAGGTTAGAAAAGTAGTTGAATGTTTTAAGTGGGACTTCATGAGCCATCCTAGAAACATGGAAGACAGTAGTTCTTAGGGTGATTTGAACTGTGTGTGCCTGAGTCAAGAAGCTTTAGAGAAGATATTAGTATGTGGCCTAGAGATAGTTCTTTTGATATTTTGGTGAATAACATAGCTGCTTTCTGTCCTTGTTCAAAAAATTCTGCTTAAGGTTTAATTGAAGAGCTATGATTAACAGCTTCAGCAAAGGACATTTCAAAATGGCCCCACATTGTATGTGTCCTGTGATCTTTAGTGGCCATATTTATATTGACCTCTAATGAAAAGGAACAAGATGAGCAAGGATTCACAAAATATACAATTAGAGAAGAAACAGGACACTAGGAAGTGGAATGGAGCTAAGTTCTGTGTTCTAGGAGATAAGCAGATTAAGGAAAATCCTGATGTTAAATGGAATAAAAAGAGTAGTGACCTCAGATCAAGATCCTACCCAGCTAAGCTTCCAACTTGTGAAAAGGAATTAAAGTTTAGAACTAGCCAGGTGTGGTGGTGCATGCCTTTAGTTTCAGCACTCCAAAGGCAAAGACAGAGGCAGATGGATCTCTGAGTTTGAGGCCAGCCTGGTCTATGGATCAAGTTTCAGGGTAGTCAAACTTAGGTAGTGAAGGAAACCATCAAAACAAGAAAGCTGGTAAAGATATAATTGAATGAGGAAGCCATGATCTAGCCCTAGAAAGTCACATAACTTGACATCTTTGGCCACATAGTTTGACTTTAGAGTCAAAGACAGAAGAAAGACATTATTTAATCTTCCTCCTTGACTGCAGAAAGCTACTGAGGCCAGACAAGTGTCCCTACATGTATGTCCCTGTATAGAGGTCATGAGGAGCCATTGTCAGAGGTTGTAAAGGGGAAGCCTGGATTGCCTTGGTGATCCCAAATGCTGAAGATACCAGAGTCATGAAATACCTGCTGAGAAGAGCTGGTAATCTAAGAGAAAGAAGTGTGTTGCAGTTAACAAAGGTGGAGGAGATGGAGATCTGAAGAGCATTTTGACAGCAGACTTGGAAATGCAGAGTTTGGAGGTTTTAAGTCTTGCTTTGGTCTATAGTACTTTTTAAGTATGGAATGGTAATGCATATTCTGTGCCATTATATGTTAGGATTATATTATTTACTTTTTATTTTGATTTTAAGGGAATTACAGTTAATAGATTGCATGAGTCTCAGAAGAAACTTTGAACTTTAGACTTTTAAATAAGTTTGAGACTATTATAGACTGTGGGGATTTTTAAAGTTGGACTGAATGAATTTTTGCATTATGGTATGGCTACAAATCTATGGTGGCCAGTGAGTGCAATGTTGTGAATTTTTTTTTACTGTACAGAAGCTTTTTAATTATTTTTAATTCTTTATTAATTACACTTTATTTACTTTGTATCCCCCCTGTGGTTCCCTCCCTCCTCCCATTCCAATCCCTCCCTTCCTCCACCCTCTGTATGCAAGCCCCTCCCCAAGTCCACTGATAGGGGAAGTCTTCTTTTCCTTCCTTCTGATCCTAGTCAATTAGGTCTCATGAGGTGTGGCTGCGGTGGCTTCTTCTGTGGCCTGGTAGTGCTGTTCCCCCCTCAGGGGGAGGTAATCAAACAGCAGGCCAATCAGTTCATGTCAGAGACAGTCCCTGTTCCTATTACAATGGAACCCACTTGGATACTGAACTGTCATGGGCTACATCTGTGCAAGGGTCTTAGGTTATCTCCATGCATAGTTCTTGGTTGGAGTATCAGTCTCAGGAAAGACCCCTGTGCTCAGATTTTTTGGTTCTGTTGCTCTCCTTATGGAGTTCCTGTCCTTTCCAGTTCTTACTATTTCCCATTTTTTTCATAAGATTCCCTGCACTCTGCCCAAAGGTTGCCCATAAATCTCAGCATCTGCAATTGATAGTCTGCAGGGCAGAGGCTTTCAGAGGTCCTCTGTGTCAGGCTCCTGACTTGCTCCCTCTTTTCTCCTTCTTCTGATGTCCATCCTCTTTGCCTTTCTAGATAGGGACTGATGCCCCTCAGTGGAGGAATGGATAAAGAAATTGTGGTACATCTACACAATGGAATATTTTTACTCAGCAGTAAAAAAACAAGGAAATCATGAAATTTGCAGGTAAATGGTGGGACCTGGAAAAAATCATCCTGAGTAAGCTATCCCAGAAGCAGAAAGATGCACACAGTATTTACTCACTCATATAGACATATAATATAAGATAAACCTACTAAAATCTGTATACTTAAAGAAACTAATCAAGAGGGAGGACTCTTGCTAAAATGCAATGTTGTGATTTTAATCAGAATGGCCCTCATAGACTCATATATTTTAATGCTTGGTCATAGGGTGTGGCACTATTAAGAGGTATGGCCTTTTGGAATTGCTGTGGCTTTTGAAGGAAATGTGTTGCTAGGGGAAGGCTTTGAGGTCTCAAATGCTTAAGCCAGGCCTAATGGGTCACCATCTCTTCCTTCTGCCTGTAGATTCAGATGTAGAACTTTCAGCTACTTCTCCAGCAGCATGTCTGCCTGCATGCGACCATGATTCCCACCATGACAATAATGTATGCCAGCCCCCAATTAAATATTTTCCTTTCTAAAAGTTGCTGTGGTCATGGTGTCTTATCACAGTAGTGACACTCCAGGAAAAAATGTTAAACTATTCTGTAGCATTTATTAATGCAGATATTTCTTATTTGACAGATATCTCTGTGATAATGAACAAAGTATACAGATAAAGTTAATTTGTACATACCCTCCATCAAAGCATCAAATTGGACTTACATACTGTAGCATTCATGAGTTTCCATTTTCTATAGGCTTTTCTTCTTTTTCTTTTCATTTTTGAGAGTTGTAAATCTTCAGTTAGCTCTAACTTTTGAAAGTACCAAATCTGAAATTATTTTCAGTCAGCGTTTAGATTTCATCAAATTATGAATTAACTCATTTATCAACTTATCATATCTTTCTCTGGCTTCTCCATAGTATTCTACTCTACCTACACATTATTGTACTAAGAATATTTTCTCTTTCTGTTTACTTGAGTCTCAAAAATTCATCGTAATGAGTCACACCATATGAAAATTCAAACATACATAATATATACACATGCAAGCATGTACACAGGGTTTTTAATGTTTAGGATGTGAATTATAAAATTATGTTGTTTAATAGATTTTTCCAAGATTTATTTATTTTTACTTTATGTGTGTGATATTTTCATGTATGCATATTCATCTTACTCATGCCCATGGATGCTGAGGTCAGCAGAGGTCAGATCTCCTGGAATTAGGGAAAGGGCTGTCATTAGTCCCCATGTGGATTCTGAGAACCAAATATGCATTCTCTGCAAGAGTATAATCCACTTTTCAGCCACTGATTAATTGATTTTTTTATTCCATTTTTCTTTTTTAAGAGTTAGTTTTATGTTTATTAAAAATAGATTCTTTTCTCATACACTACCTCCCAACCACAGTTTCCCATTCCTCTACTTCTCCCAGCTCCCCTGCACCTTCTCTTTTCCCCAGATCCACTCCTGCTTCCTTTCCTTTTCAGGAAAGAGCCTCTAACAGATGACAGCCAATCAGTACAAAACAAGACACAATGAAGGCAAAAGCCCTCATATCAAGGCTGGTCAAGAAAAACACCAGGAGGAAAAGAGTCTCAAGAGCAGGCAAATGAATCAGAGATACACCTGCTCCCACTGTGAGGAGTCTAACAAAAATACCTAGCTAACAGTAGCAGTACATATGCAGAGGACCTGGTGTAGACCTGTCCAGGCTCTGTATTTTTAACTACATGGCTCATTTACTTACTCTTTTCTTTTTTCTTGCTTTTTAAAAAAGAAACGAATTATTTTATGGTAACAAATAGCACCGAGAATGTTTGATTAATCCTCAAAGAATTATGTTATTTTATACTAACCTAAAATTATATACATAAGTTTATGGAAATGAATGAAATTATGTCACCTGGGCTGACAATGATCCTCATGAAATCTATGAATCATCTAACAAATACCCCAGTTTTAGACATGAGAAACTTCTGTTTAAATAGTTGGTGAGGGTAGTCCAAATGACTTCCAAATCAATATAGGCTATTGTTGTTGTCATTTATTACCTCTCAGGGGTTGAAGATAAGGAACTTACACTTAGGACACAGGACTCAGAAGAGATGAACTAGATTTAACATGAAAGCCTCCTTCCTGTCAACTAGATTTCAGAGTACAAGAAAGTACTGTGTAAATTGACAAGGGTAAGAAACAATTAATAGCCTCCTATGCTATTAATGTTTTATGCTATTATGCTATTAATGCTATTAATAGCCTCCTATGCGATGTCAATGCTTTTATTCTACTTTTATAGTAATAAAATAATCTAACTTTTGTGATTTTTTTTTGCATTTTTTTTTAATTTTATTTTTCTTTTTAGTTACATTTTGTTAACTCTGTGTCCCAGCTGTATCCCGCTCCCTCATTCCCTCCCCAACCCCATACTCCCTCCCTGGTCTCCTCCCTGCCCCTTTCCAAGTCCACTGATAGGGGAGGACCTCCTCCCCTTTCATTTGACCCTGTTTTATCAGGTATCTTCAGGGCTGTGATTTTTTTTTTACCTGAGTTTCAAGTCATTAAATTTTTAGCCTGAATGAAGCAGTGTAAGGGAGATGTGCCTCCATTATGCTATCATCCTACTACTATATTTAAGTATTATGAAGCTGGACACACATAGGAGCAGAGTTGGCAGTTATTCCTAGAAGTCAAAATTCTTTATGTCTATTGTAAAGCAAAGAGTCATATTTCCTGTTGATAATGTCTCAAGTAACAGCCTTTGGTGTTGGGAAGTAACAGGTGCTGGGAAGAGGTATTTGGAAGAAGGTAGTCTCCTAACTACTCAGGTAATGCTGTTGGTAGGCATCTGCTCCTGTGTACAGCTAAATCTGATTTTCATTGCCTTTGTCCTTGACAATGATTAAGCTATCTGCAAAATCCAAATAAAGTGGCTTGCACTTTAAATGGAGCTGGCTTACAGTAAGTTTTAGAAAAAATGAACTTAAATTTTCCTCAACTCATTTTTCTCCTCATTCCCCACAGCTTGGTATCTACTGATGCCCAAACCTCCATATTCCATAAGCTGTGACAGCATTTCACCTTTCTGCATATTTACTTCCTAGGATCACCTTTCTTTTCTGAAAAAAAAAAAAAAAAAAAAAAAAAAAGACATCCATTGGCACTTTCAGATTTCTTTTCTATTCTCTCCCCCAATAAGCACAAATAAATAGTATGGCTTATATGATAGGCAATAATATTTTCTCTTAGAGAGATAATGTGGGAATTTGATTAAGTACAGATTACAAAGACACAATTCAAAACCTTTAATTTGTTATCATTGTTTTATATGTATACGGGGTTTTCAAATTTTTAAAATGCTTCAGAACAACTTGTGTGCTTTAAAAATTATGGTTGTATATGGTGAAAGGAGAAAATATGGCTGTCCCACCTTGTATGGTAGAGAATGCTACGGACAGAGACTTGAAAGATCTGGGTTTGTCATCTGTCTCAGATGCCTACTCAGCATATCTTACAATCTCTGTGAGCCTATTGTTTTGTTTTGTTTTTTGTGAAAAAAGTCTTCTTGAAGGACCTGTCTCTGAGAAACACAGTGGAAAATGCTATAATTCATTTTGTCAAATGACAGCAGTTATTCTTTATGTCCTCATGCTCTACACGCACATTTAATAAATCACATCCATAACTAGCCCTGTACAGTGACCGCAAGGCCATCTCAGACAAGGCTGCCATTTTGCAGATGAGAAACCAAGACTCAGGCAAACTGAACCTAGACCCAGGCTACTAGGAGTTAGGAGAACTTTCTCTTTGAGCAGACACACATAGTTTAAATGCCCTGGCTGGCTTCTGCTCATACAGTAAAATTTTATAATTGATTTGTGTTGTAGCTTTGAGAGCATACAACTTTGTTATAGAAAATTTAATGTACTGTTCAGTGTGTACCTACTATTTT